TAAGGCCTCTCAAAGCGCTCACCTTGATGAGTGTACTTTGCGAAAGGGGTGACGCACGAACAGGTCAGAACACGCACACGAACTGAGAGTTGTTCAACCGCACCAAGGTCAGGTGGTAGAGGCAGATGGAGGTCGTAACACGCAGACTGTCGGGTTCAGCGATCAATCGACTCGCAATGGGACACACCCACCCACACAAAGCAGCAGCGTGTGTTAATCGGCCTGCCTTAAGCGACGATGCAGGTGGAGCGCTGATAAGCGTGCCTAGTACTGCTCAGTTGATGAGCGGAGCAACTGCAACTTGCAGGGATGGTTGTCGCGTAGTTTGGGAGCCCTCAACTTTTTCTTCCGAATGAGACCAAACCTTTTCCGAGCAACCGGTTTGATGTAGTTACACAAGTGGAATTCGGCAAAGAATATGCCGAAAACTAGGAACTGGAGCAAGAGTATAATCCACACAGGTTAGATCCAAGAGTAGGGAAGCACTGAGTAGAGCTCGTCGAACTGGTTCGAACGAGCGCACGCACAATATTGTGTGGGGAGAATCAGAGTGGCCACAGAGGGTAAAGCGAGAGCCGAGTTAAAGTGCGGCCGCACGGTAGGTGTCAAGGACAGTAGTCATTATTCATTGTTCATGATAGTGTTTTTGATGTTGTGTGTGGGCGGACAACTAATTCGTGTTTGGTTTTAAGCCCAATGTTCATTGGTCGGCCGCTAGTCATTTTGTGCGTGGGTCATTGGTTCATTAATTCCAGGCAAAATGAATGTTAGTACGGAGCATCTCATACCTAGTTGTTCTCTAGTGTGCTTCCCTGTCCTGTCAGGTGTCGTTAATGCTATATTATTTACAATTCTGCAGGATTGCGGAAGCAAATATTGTACTGAGGTTGCATGTTCCAAGGAATTGCTGAAAACTAGTGGCCGTGCACCTGTGAACTTTAACCTAATGTCGGTAGGCAACCTGGAGCGATGCTTCAACCATTTATGCAATAGGATCTCTGTCATTTCATCGGAGTGTAGCAAGAGGCAATATTTTTGGACCGCAGCCCTTGTAGTTTGAAGCTGAAAGAATTCTCGTTAATGATTTAGTCATAAGGTGGTCCCGCGAGAGTGCTTCGCGGATGTAGCGCCACTGCTCTCAGTCATGCTTTAGAGCTTCGTAATCAGGAGTGCCCAGTAGTTCAGGAATACGATGTACAACTACTTTTTTTGCTTTCGTTCCTAGTAGGGCCGCCGTGATTTTTTTCCTTTAACCGTCCTTCCAATGAACATCGAGTAGTTTGCGTACCCCGCTCGATTAGTTGCGATGATAAACTGCTGAGAGTAGGCCTATCTCTCTCTCCTCAGTTGAGTTCAGTGTTACTCGAATAAATCAGGGTTCGCCCTAGTGCACTGAATTTGGGTGACGTGCTACGTTTCCTAGCCCAGTTGACTCCACCCGAATACCAATCGCATCGCAGATGGAATGCCAGTGGTTGCGATCACCTACCAACTTGCCCTTTATTGTGCCAGATCTGGGCTCAGGAACGTTAGTGTACATGACCGTTAAGGTACTGTGGTTCTGTTTAGCCAATGTCCGTTTGAGGGTTGGGACTGGTAACTTGGATTGTTTGGGGGGGGGGGAATAAAGAAAATTATGAAGACAGTGCTTGGTCCAGATAATGGACGTACGGGTGCCTCTTTAGGCGCTTTTATCGAGGCAGTCGGTGAGTATGTCACCCAGCCCTGGACTGTCGATGTCCATGTTTTGACCGACTCGTGAGTTATGGCATCTAGCGATGAGTGAATGACAGTCACGCTGGATGTGGCTTGCCTACTTAAATGGTTATTAATTGTCGGAGTAGATGGTGCAGATGCCGTTGGACCGTTAGCAAGCCTGACTTGAGCCTTCGACTTAGGGACAGAGCTTTGTGTGGTTTGCTGTAGAGCAAGCTCGGCGTGGTTAGGTTCTAATGGTAATACTCTGAAGCTCGCTATCTCCTGGACTGCTTCAGTCATTTTTCACACTTTTTCATGAGCAATATTATACATTAGACTATTGGGATTGCTCTGCATGTTTGGCATCACCAGAGCGAGTCAGTCAGGTAGATTTGTCTCTTGTATTTTAGTTGACTTAAACCAACACAGAGGGGGTGAAACGTAAGGCCGCAAAATGCACACATAATGTCTCGTTTAACTGGGCGCGTACACTTGGACTGACCACATTTTAGGTTAAGTGGAATCAGTTCCATTGAGAGCCGTTATTGCAAAGGAACACTGCCCTTGTCTGGTCACGTGAGGTAAAGAGCGAGTGACGCTAGTGTTCTTTATCCCAGTCGCCCTCTCGACCTCGGTTACCGTGGGTGAGTGTGCACGACTATTACTCACGTACCCGGAGTTTGGCTAGCCTAATATTCCACACTGTTTCCTGTAGGACAAAGCCGCTGGAAGTGGCTTGCATTGGGGTGAAGAACAGCGAACATTTTCGGCGATGGGCGAATGCAATTACAACCACAGATTGAGTCGTAGCTTCTTTAGAAATAGTCATATGGATGTAATTCTATGACCATCAGATAGCGCGGACAATTCTTGATGGACCACAGAGTCCCAGCAGTGAAAACTGTTAAAAACACCAGAGTGGCACGTCTGGAAAGAAGCACGAAGCGCGCTAAAATAAATTGGATATAACAAATCACCTTTTTAAAGAAATAAACCCGTAAAAATACGCCCACTGAACACGAGCATTTACTCCGATTCGAATGAGTGTATGTTGACTGCACTAGGGGAAGATGAAAAAGTGAAATCCTGGGACAGAGGAAAGCACGTTTACTATGCGACCAGTCAGGCGCTGCCTGCACACATACTAAGTAGAGATATCGCACACTATTCGTTATTTGTTGCTTTTGGACACTAACCTTTAGGCCAGCTGAAAAACATTATAAATAAATGTATTCATAAAACTCTACTCTCCGAACAAAAGAACCCGTGGATTCTTTTTGTCAATTCGCGCTCAGCGCCGACGAGTGAAAGTCCCTTTGCTAGATGGACACCAGCGCACCCTTTTCCTTCTCCTTTATCCGTTTATGGAACTTTACATTTTTGAGAATGCCATTTTACTTCATCTGCTGCTGATATGTATGGTGCTGAGAATGCACCCATCCGGTTACATACAGCTTAACTTGAGTGACTATTTGCTTTTGGAAAGAAAACAAACTAGTGGAGTGAAACAGTTGCGGCCTATTCAACTGTTTCAGCCCACCTCGCGCAACGCGACCATTGGGGACTCAGAGTGAGATCCCATCTACCGGATAGTACCAGTCGTCAGCCTCAAAGGCTTTAGTTTAGGTGACCCCACAACTTATCTAAAGTCTACATAACCAGATATGCGAGGCCGTCCGCATTGCTTCGACTCCTATGTCTGATTGCCAACAGGGTGAAAGCGAAGTGACACCATGTGCGTCCTTGCTCATTCACTCTTGATGTGCGTTAGGGACGCATCTACGCTAGCACAATCACCAGATGCACGAGAGAGTATGTAGCTAGATATCCGTTGCATTCCATCCGATGCTCATTGACTCCCGATGTAGGACCTTTGTCCTCAAAAAATCCTCTCTACTGCTCCATGAAGCAAGTCACATACCTCGAAAAAAAAACGTTGAGCAAGCGTATAAATCCCCAGTCTCGCGTACGAACTAATGCGAACAGTGGGTAGACCACTGCTACCCAAAAATTCTGCAGCTGCAGGGGCACAGTGCCTATGAAATGTGCGCGAAGAACTGTTCTGTATCTGTTCATACACTTTGGCTGAGTAGTCAGTCCTAGCTTGTTCTGGGAATACCCCGAGTAGGCTTCAATCAGGGTACAGTCTATGTTCAAGGATGAAGTTTCCATCTCTTGTCAAAGCTTTAGTATCCACCATCTGATATGACTTTTCGTCGAACTTTTCTGTTTAGCACTGTTTCGTAAACAATTTTTCAGATGGAAAACCTTGTTGAACAGACCGCACAGCTGGTGAAAAGTTCTCCTTTAGCAGCAACCAGAGAAGAAAATGAAAGGAACGTCCGCAACACACAATGCCGAATGGATTCACTTTGTTCGGATACTCGCAAACTGATGTCTGACTTAACCGATTTAAACGGAAGAGTTGGGCAAATCGAAAGCACTTTGGAGCAGTTGGATCCCAAAGTAGATCAGGTCAAGAAATGGACAGAGAACATCTCTTCTCAACGTGAGAAAAATTATCCCCGAATGCATTCAGAAGTACGTGCTACTAAGCCCATTTTGAGTTCGTTTTATGTGACTTTTCCGCTGAAACGAAGATTGTTTAGTACGTGCATCATTTCCCCATGTGTTAGACCTCACTGTTTGCACATTTGTGACATGAAACACTGTATGCCAACTGAGACGCCTCGACGAATCCGCCGAATGCATTTGATAGGAAACGTATATTTGTATGGTGAAGCTGTTCTGCTCTACTTAGCAGACCACCCGGCTTCAGCTCACAAAAGCGGATAAGAAGCCAAAACTCCGCACGTGGATTAACTCTTTTGTATAAAGCACTCTGTACGCTAGTAAGCTGGTTCATTGCATTAAAATTAGTACCATGTTGAATTTCTCGTTGTCTGAGGTACTGGTGAAGCGTACGAATTGCGACCTCGGTTTCACTCCCTGTCCAGATTGAGATTTCTTGACGTCATCCGTTCAGACAGCGGTTACTCTTATTCCCAATACTGGGCTCATAAACGCTGCGGTATGCTCAGATATGGAGTTATGTGGAGCTACTGATGCCCCACACAGCTATTATTAAAGTCGCAGTTCGGTTCTCTCTACCAGAAGAGTACAGTCAAGATCATTCATCCTGGTGATTGGAAACATTAGGGTCAATGGCACTATGGTGCGGAATGATCAGACGAGGATCTAGACGCCGTTGGACTGTAAAGCAAAAATGGAACCGGGCCGACTTCGTCTGGAACATCTATACTAGAAACCTAAAGTGACTAGTCCAAGTGTAATGACTACATGGATAGATGGGGAATCGATGCAGGCATAGCGGATTTACGGTGGACTCAACGCAAGAATCAATGTTGTGGCTCAGCGCTGATTCCAGTTGTTCTGTCAACTGAATCCGCGTCCATTGTAAATCAGTCACTGTGTGGATACTCATACGGACATGTCTATTAAAACGACCACCTATATTGACTATGTTTGTGCTATTCGTTAAATATTGCTTCAGCGCATGAGAGGACTGCGACTGACGCGGCGTGAATCACGATTCTGATTGGATGTGGAAGTCAGAACCCGACTGCAAAGGACCAAATCTAACGGCTTATGGCTTATTGAACCGTGTGAAAGTGCAACCGGGAAGAAATACAACTGTCAACTACCGCGGTGTACACATAAATAGAGTTACGAACATAAAACGAGAATCAGCTTTTTGCAACGCATGCGGGCGAATTATTCCCCGTAGATTCGTACTAGGACCAAGATAATTGTCACTTACAACTGCAGCACAAATAATCCATAAGAGGACTGAAGGTTTCACTCACTCATCTCCTCTGACAATCTTGGTATAGTCAAAAGACGGTGTTAGCGAACATGTTTTCAATAATCCTTCTACTGACTTTTGCAATGCTATACCAATCAGCTCAATCGGACGGACTAATGTGATTGTTAGAAATGGGGTAATACCAGTGTTAGAAGAGGTTAACCATTGCTATTGATCAGGTTAGTGTCTGAGACTGCATGCGATCCAATTGAGTAATGGGCACAAGTCGATCTGGTCAGGGTAGCCATAAGGCCTAAATGAATCGTTTCTGAATGCAAAGATTCGGTTTCCTTGCAGCCGAATTGGTATACCGTGTTTACCGAACAGGATGGGTAAACCACAACTCACGCAAGTCACTGCATATTGGGTGGCTAATTTCTCAATAGTTAGGTGGTTATATCGAAGCACCAGTTATGTGAATGGATTACGATACGCAATCCTGATGTGGACCGCGTAACATTTTTAATTAACTCTCAGACAATTCGGTCTCTGTGACTGTATCTAAACATGAATATAACCCGGTTACATGGAGCTGGAAGATCCGGTAACGCTCATCCGTTTGGGTACAAAGTTCATGAGAATAAGCTTACTCAAGTGGATCTGTTGGATTGTTTTAGATTGATCCTTAAATAAGTTACTGAGGCCTAATGGGATGGTAGCTTACTTTGGTGTTTACTTAGTAAAATAACATTAAAACAGATTGTAAAGTCATTCAAACTCTGAGAAACGACCTGATCCGTTTGCGAAAGCCTTCTTATTGATCGGTACATTAACTAAAACAGCCAATATCTTCGTCCGCGTTGAATGCTGTGGTTCCAGCCATTGTTGTGAAGCAAGCTGCGGGGGTTCTGTTGAACTTCTAACATCATTTGACGATGGGAACAGACGAATCAAATACCGGTGCTAACGGAATTGGTTGGAGCCAATACACAATGGTAATTGTTTGCGTGGAACCTATGAAACTATTTTACCCATTTTTGTGCAGGTATTTTAAAACGATTTCACCTCGAAATCTGAACTTGATATACTCAGAGTAGTAGCGTGGTATACGTAAAATTATAAATCTACAAATTGCAAACTTGCCATTTTCCATTGTTCATTTCCTACTCCTTGGTATATAGCTAGTTTCTATTGTCGACTTTGTTATTATAGTTCTCATAATAAAACATGAACACGATATCTATTTATCCGCATTAATGTGGTTAGGTGAAGCAACATCCTACTGAATCTTTATCACGCACTCTGCTCTCCGTCTCATTGCTGACCAGGAATACAGACTGCTTGGACTGTTTTGCCTCAGTGCTAAGTTACATTTAGGGTACGTCTACAAACCCAGTTGTACGTTTAAAGTTATCATTAGAGAATCATGTACTATGAGTTCCATTACATCGGTTTTGGTCCTTTTGCTCTTGGAATCAACTTGTACGTGAAGCTGGGCTTATACAGAACACTATTTCATCTAGTGGTGCTTGCGGGGCGAAAAATACTGTTTTTCTTTTACAAAAACCTCAACCTCTTGTGGAGCGGTTCTTTTATTAACTGCCACTTGTCGGTGCTACAAGGTGGGACGGAGAGTCTTAGTTGATTGTTAAACCGCAGTTGCTACGGTTCCCAATCTGCGAGGATTCTTAAGGTGCGCTAGTTTCACTGCAGCCGTGCGCAACCCTTATTCCATCCGCTGCGAAATTGTTATCTGAAGACCGTCATACGTTTTTATCTAGTCATAGTTAATCTTCCTATGCTTTTGAAATTCACCCATTACTCCGGCAAGGACACAACCCCCATTTGTGTACGCATCGTATAAGTACTCTGCATAAGTTGTGTTGATGTGAACAGAAACCGCTCTAGGTAGTAGTGTAGAAGCGTTCATGTCTTGCCCGCTCCCTTCTTCACGCGACTGGCTACGCTGGACCGTCTTGAAAAGAATGGTTTCCGTTCCCTTGGAAGCCTATTTGTGACAATCATGTCCGGCTCGCCTATGTTGCTCGGGCAGCGACTGGTGAAGAACTATTTGTGTTTGACCTGCTGGTGTCGCTAACTCTCTCATTCCTTTTTCTCACTTTTCTTGCCCTCGAGTACACACTTAATACCATTAAGCTATTGTCAAGACAGTCAGCTCAATTGTTCTAGCCAGCGGCATCGACCCGTGCATCGGGGGACCATAATGCTATGGGTTTTCAATTGTAGTCCATACATTGTGCGCGCACCAAAATCAAACTATGGTAACGCGACAACGAGTGAACGCAATGGTGCACGAACGTTACAAGGTTATTGGTAGCTCTTGGAACGGTTGACGGGTACCAAGAAGTTGTATCTCGGTGGTCAGAGTTCCTGTCATGAAGTAACATATTCCAAACGGATGAATGTCTGAATGGCAGATGGCGCGGAAGAGCTACCATAAGTTCCAGGCCACATTAGTTTATCATTGCTTGAGGGTTGATGACGAAAGCCAAAATGAATGAAGGAGCTATTTTTGGTGAACTTGGGTTTGCTTATTCACTTTGGTGTGAAGTGCTGAATTGCTACCCATTGGGAGAGCGCGCAGCTGTTTTGAAGGCTGGATGAATTCCTTGAGTTCCTTATCAAACTAACCAGCGGGTAGTCAGATCAACAAACAACATCCAGCGAGTTCAGCCGGCACATCAGCCTCCGAAGTACCTGAAGTTAAGCTAAAGGGCCCCTTACCCTGACATTAGATGAGGATTAGTTTAAGCTTTACAATTTAAAACGAGACTGAATAGGTACTGGTCGATGCAGGCCACAACCACGCCAAGTAAGCAGAGCTTTTAAACTAGCTTACCGAAACTGGAATATTATGATACGGTTACTTTATCACGTTTGTTGCATCTACTGGGTGGTCTGCAGAGTTGTTGGCTACTTGGCTTCTGTTGTCTGGTAATATGTACCAAACCTCTATTAGCCAACAGCATGTGGTGGAATATATCTTTGCAACTGATGAGAGAACCACCTGGTTACCCTCTGTGGATCTGGGTTAAGGGGCTGCTGGCGTCGTTGTATTGCCCTACTCATTGAGACAAATGCCCAACTTGGCTGAAGCTCCAGTATTATGATTCCCAATTGAACCAAGGGGTACGATTGACCATGCTTTGAACTGAAAAACAAGACGAAGAATATCACGCTATAAAACCATGTCTACTTATGCCGGCTATTAATTAAACTTCTCAATGACATCGGACGCAGATGGATGGCGTCATTACTATGTTTTCGGATATTGCATCCAAGCAGTACTCATCATCCGCATCGTATATGTTAGCTGAAGGTGACAGACATCTCAGCCATTGTACGACAATACAATACTGTTGCGTAGAGTTAAATGGCAGAGGTAACCAATAACATACTTCGTAATAAGATTCCTGGCATTAGGATTTATTATTATGCATTGATGTTTTGATCCTTTTCCACAGTACTACTTACACGTTGTGATGGTGCAAGATCATATGGACGATCAAAAGAGTTCATTTCCCTGTTCGCTTGCCTCCTTTTACTAACTGATTTATGGCAACCAAAACTTCATTTCCGTTACAGCTCGAAAGTAACTCGACAAGTTTCACAAGAATAATGCCAAAAATAAATTAATTTTGATATTCCCGTCAAGGGTGTATGTCACAAATGTGTTCTCCAATTTTATGTCTTCATTTACCGTATCCAGATAGCACGGTTACGTCGTAACCTATGCACCTGTTCTGGCGATGTGGATGCGTTGGACGGTTTGATGAAAGATGGACGTTTCTGCACCATCTCTCAAACGTTTAAACTGGACCTAATACCATTGAAAAAGAAGTTGCAGGTCATGCAGGAAAACTTACTGGTGAGGAGGTTTACTCTCAGTCGCCAAATGTTTTTATATCGCTGTTAACTACTTAACTAGTTTAACCGTTGGTTAAATCCAAATTAGCCAAATTATTTCTTATCGATAATTGCACTATGCATAACAGTGGTGTGGAAGCCTACGGAGTCATCAGGAGGTTTGGATCGTACCACGGCTTGCGTGCTTTTCCGACAGAAGTCATCCCCAAAGTATTTCCCTCAGTAGAACAAGCAGTTGCGTTGTGATACCTAGCCAGAACTTCTTGCGGCCTTCGTCTACGATAGCGATATTATATGCTATATGCTCGCCCTGTCGATTAAATACCGTACAAAGCGGCAGAGCGGTGTGGAGCATACTATGTTAATACTGCTAGGCTTGTTCGACGGGACAGTTACCAGCAAATGGATAAGAGTCACTGTCTATGGTCACCTAAAACTCAGTTTCTGCTTAAGCACAATTGCTTAAACTTACGTTAGACCATCAATGAACCGTAGACATTAGGTAAGACTTGCCTGCTAAATAAGCCATTACCAAAGCTGCACAGCGCTATTCACCTATTCTCTCTCTCTCTCTCTCTCTCTCTCTCTCTCTCTCTATATATATATATATATATATATATATATATATATATATATATATATATAAGAGCCACAAGACGCCTACCTACCCACTGTTTAACTACCTAACTGTCTACCGGATACCAATCTTCTCAGACATTCACCCATCTGTTGACCAACTTAATAATTACATAGGAGTAGGTTTGGTAGAAATTCCTCACATCTGGGCTCATTCAGACAGCCATCACACGCCCGGAAAAGCACTGTACGCGCCTTTCATCCTTTCGGGAATCGTCAGCAGTGCTCATTCCATCGGAACCTGGTAGGGCTCGAACCCCCAACTCGACTGTTGCCAGTCCGTGGTTAAGACCAATGAACTATGGGGGACGGCAACGACCATCGTGAATAAGTTACTAGGGGTGATATAGCGCCGCTCACTATCCACTGACACACGTTACTGTCGTGCAAGGGTGCAGGTAGCCCCCTCACCAAGCGACGAACATACCAAATTTAAGCCGCCAAATAACTTATGGCATAATAAGCAGTTTTGTCTGCGTACTGCTCACAGAAGAGTAGTACGGGAGTTGGATGTTATAAACTTACATACTCATCTGTTCATTAAATTACTGCCAAGTTCATCAATCCAGCTGTCCCTTTAGCCTTGGAGCAAGGAAACGAGGTGGCCTGATTAAAGTGCATCTCATCACAGCAGCCATTGCACGCGATAGGTGATAATTCCCGGTACGCTAACCCGAATCCCGTATAGAACTGCAAATTTATTATGACATTGCAGGTTTTTAGACATAGAGCCACTCTTCCATTCTGTCAATAGGCCTCACTCGAAACAGAGACAAATCAACCATCTCTCTAGGACTGGCGATGTGTTAGTCTACTTCACTTCCATTCACCATCCAATTTGAACACCTCAACGGTTTTTCTAATTTGGCAGCTGGTCTGTCAATGCCGAAGACGCCAATCCCCATACGTCACGGCGTATAACGCAACACCACTTGTATGTGTTGCCATCAACATCCATTCCACAAGTTGTTGTTTCGATTAAACTGTAATTAGGTATGATGTACAAAGTTGTAATCAGTTGGCAGATAATTTCTGTTCAATATTTTGTCTGGATAAACAGGTGAAACGACTTGCTCTCCTCTTTCGGATTTCTCTGTGGGCATTGGATGTATTAAGTTCCCTCAGAATTAGCAGTAAAATACCCAGTACAATGCGGATACGCTACAGATACGGTCGGTTAGACAGCACCTAGACATACAAAGAAGCGATGCATGGCTAGGTTTCCTCTGGCGATTGAACCTGTTACCGTTCTCTCGTTATTTATCACTCCAATCCATGGAGACCGAAAGCTTCATGGATGTTGCGATGACCGGCTGACTGCCTGTTTTCAACAAGCTTTATGTAACATCCTTAATCAAAGAAGGTCATATTTAGGCAAAACTTCACTTCCCTCATCATAATGGGGCAAACAAAGCATAAGCGTTATTGCCGGTAGCTGAATTCTCCACTATTCGTACCTTTACCACCATATGTTGAAGTTCAGGAGAAACTACCCTAGTGGGCAGATTCCTTTCTGCTATCTATTTAACTAAAGTTGACATCCGTCGGGCAACAACGGCGTAGAAAGCACTGCGCGCAGTTGCTGTAACATTTTCAGTGCTTTGTAATCCACCACAAACGCTAAGAATCACCATCAGCAACTAGCAGCAAAAGGCTGTGAAAGTTGGTGGTTCATTGCAGTGTATACACAGCGGTCCCACTACTTGCTCACTTTCGATGGATGAACGGCAGCCTTGATGTCAGGTGGAGGGAAATCTAAGAAGCAATTGTCGTTGTGCGCAGTGAATGAGGTTAAAAGCGGAGACTTCTCTGTGCCCCCTAAAACACGAGTGTGCAGAGACCCACATTCATCCTTTCAGATGATTATGCTATTCTTTTAATAATCATTAGAAGTCCAGCAGAATGATTGGGAGCACCGCTTTACATGTACCTACATTTAGACTTGTTTTGTAAGCAATTACAACTGTCCGAATCATGTGTTCTCGAGTTTCGTCAGTTTTATCAAAATCAAGCCCATTCGTAACATAGCAGCATGCGCGAGACATCAAGCAAGCCTCACAGCCACATTCTATTTGCGCTCTCGTTTCACCCGTTGTTACTAACCCAATCCTCCTCAAATATTCTTGTGCATGCGCTCCTTCGTACTCGCTCTACGAGCGCTGCGCAGTGCTTTCCACAGCTTGGGTCAAACTTGTGTTGCTCGTACTGTCGTTCTAGTTCAAAGGCTCGGCACATTCTTTGCCAAGATTCACGCGTGCATTTACATCACATCTGAGCTTTTCGGGTGTAATTTTCCTTTAAATAGGAAAAAGAAGCTAGGTACCCTTAATCGACCCTACAACCATCGTTACAAGGAGCATCATAACAAAGCTAGGGGATATTTCGTGTCAATTATCCACTAAACATTGTGTCCGAAGCAATTAGCGAGGCTTGTCAAAGCTTCGCTACCATAGTCGCGTAAAGGAAGCCGATCAACAGGCGCCTTACTTCGCTTTGGATGTGTGTACACGATCTGGCGATGACCGATCACTGAACCCGGCAATCTGCGCTGCCGCGAGAGGCAGTGAGACAGCCACCAGTCGCGGAAAATGGACCCTGGCACCAGAACGATCAATCTAGGGTCCGGGATTGAACTTAATGACAACCCTTAGTGCACGTGACCTATTGAGCGCGAGTGGCTTACCCACAGTGCCTAAAGGCACATGCGGAAAGTGCCCTGACAGCCAGAATAGGTATTTAATATTCCAACTGCTCCACTTATTTCCATGCTAAATGCAGGAACCTCATGTCAAGCGAATTTAAATAAATAAATAAATAAATAAACGTTTTATTCCTCAGCAGTGCGAGGCAAAGACCAATTGGGTTGTCTTATCAACATGTACAATGTGATCGCATAATATAGTTAATTATTCGTCTTTTGATCAAAGGTTCCCATATGGGTTTTTGAAATGATTAGCAGTCAATAGGCCAGTCACAATTTGATGGAAAATATTGGCGAGTGACGACGATGGTACAGAGACATCAGCTTGGAAGGCGTAGTGCATCAATGAACCAGTGCGTCAAAGGAGAAAACAGAATTTGGTTAAACGGATTAATAGGAGTAAGATCGTTCTCAAATATATACTCAAGAATGCAATTATATGTAGGTAATGTTATATTATTGAAACGAATAGAGGATATGGTGACTTTCATACGTATCCAGGACCTTTCTCATACAAATCATCTAGAGTCACCGTTTGGCTTAGTGTTGACCGGATGTTTGCAACAGTCAGGTGAATATTAATCATGCGTCTGAATTGTGCATAGGTAGTGCAGTTTCTAACACTTGATGGAAGTTTGTTCCATATTAACGCATATTTTACAGAGAAAAATTTTGAGCGGTGCTTTGTGCGAGACTTTGGTATTTTCACTGTGCGCTCGCTGTTTCTTAGTTCATAGCGCATACGAGTCTGAAACTCGAGTTGAGGCTGAGCAGTGAAGGTCAATCCGAATAGTAAGCGGTATAAAAGGCACAGATTAAGTTTGAGTCTGCGTAGCCATAGCGGCTCCAGATTTAGCGCCTCGCAACGCTCACGGTATGTCATAGTATTAGGCATGTTCAGAAATCTTTTTGTGAATGATCGTTGAATGTTTTCTAGTGTTATAATATCCACTTTTCTCAGATTACTATGCACTATCGTACAGTACTCAAGTTTCGGCCTAACACATATTTTAAAGGCTTGAAGCCTGGAATCCCTCAAAATAAGAGTTCGACTTATATAGGCGATCACTTTTCTGGCAGAAGCCTGCAAGAATATAACATGCTCTAAAAAGCTAAATGAGGCAGAATATCTTAGACCAAGGTCTCGGACTGCGCCACACACAGGAATAGGGGTATCGTTTAATGTAAGGATTTTCAGAGAAGGGCCACAGCCGTAGTACAATAGATTACTCTTGTCCGTGGCAAAGTGCAGCTTCCAGGAGTTACTCCAGAGCTCCGATGCGGACAAGTCAGACTGAATATAGGCTAAGTTAGGACTACGTTGCCCAGGAGTGGAACAATACACAATTTTAACATCATCTGCGAGAAGGTACGGCTTTCCATACGAGATTTCGTCGAGGAGATCGTTGAAATAGATTAAGAATAAAAGCGGGCCTAGCACGCTACCTTGAATCACTCCACTAGAGATTGTAGTGGCTTCAGATGTATAGTTACCGATTTTGACTACTTGCTTTCTACCCTCGAGGTAGGAAGACAACCAGTCTAGAAGCGAATTAGTGATACCATAGGACATAAGCTTCAGCAGCAATAAATTGTGTGGGACACGGTCAAAAGCCTTTTGGATATCAAGAAATATTACGATGATAGCACTTCCGGCGTCTCTT